TTGAAACTGTCCTTCTCAGCTAAGAGTGTTAAAACTACAAATATGGCTGGTTGGCAAACTTTGATATAACTATTTTTTGTTGCATCTCCAGTTCAAATTTTGCTACTGAGGTTCTAATATTGGGGAAATACTAAACAAAGAACAGCAATGTCAATGAAAACAAGCAGCAAAATTCTGAATTTATGCTTTCAAGCTATTAAGTGCATGAAGGAGGGTACAGCTGTCAGATAGCTATAAAGGCCTGTCTTATTTGAAACCTCTGGATGTAAGCATTAAAATGTCATCAGAGAAAAGCTCTTTTTCTGCAGCTCACTATGGCATCATCCACAGATGGTTTTGCACTGGATGCTGTCAGCTGTCAGCCTCTGCTGATCTGCAACTCTGGTGTTAACTGAGCATTATGCACATCTGTTGCTTTCATTGTTCAGTACCATATATCAGATACAGATTTCAACAAGAGTGCCACTTGTATGTGTCAACATGAAACATTACTTCATCTGAAACAAATTGATACATTCAGGGAGCACAAGAGGCTCTCAAAGAGAACATCTCCTGAGGAAAAATATGTCCAAAATACCACATACTTACATGCTAACAATCTGTGTCTATGGTATAAATTCAGTGTTAAGATATCTGTGCCAAGCTTGACAGAGGACATGTAACATGACTTTATTTTGGGTAAACAAAGGTCAGAAAGTATTGGATAGTCTTTCATGTCACCTCACAGGAAAGAGTACCTCCCCCTCAACCTCCAAATCAGTAATAAGCAGGATTGCATGAATCATCTTTGTGCAGTGTCATTGTTTCCGGTGGTTTATAACTCAATATGAAACACAAAGGCACAATGTTTTAGTATGAGATGACCTGAAACACTATAAAATAAAAACAAAATAGTATAAAAATACAAAATTTGTTTGGCTTTCTTAGCGGGGTGGGGGGGAAGAGATTTGCTGGTTTAAATTGTTTTGTTTTCTACTAGTTAGGCCCACCGTCGTTTCTTCAAGTTTACAGGCCAATCACTTAGAGAAGTGATTCCCAACAACAGGTCCACACACTACTTCTGTTTGTGTGTGCACAAGTGTGCAATGCTCTGCCGTTGGTCTCAGAGCACTGCTTGTCTGTCTCCCGTTCATATCTACTTTGACCCTAAACACCAGACTTATGGGGTTAGAAGACCATAACATCATCATACCAAAACATCTGATCACATTACAACAACCTATCTATATAGTTCCATAAGCGTGCATGGTGCTTTAGAGAACAAATCAAAGGCAAGTTTCTGCCCAGAGACATTCACACTAATTCAGATATAATGTAACTGGGGATGGAGAGGCATATGAGTACAAGGGTTAGAACAACAGGTTATAAATGGGCCGGCACCTGCCTCTCACAAGCACCCCCTGGTCGAGTGCCTGCAGTCTCAGTTTGTGGTGCTGTATCAGCGTGGCACCCACCTCTTGTGAGCGTCCCCCCTTGGTCGATGGGTTTCTTTGGTGGGGCTTCAGTGACTCAGCCCTCCAACCGAGTCACACAATGTCTGCAGGTGGAACAGAATGAACTCCTTCCGGGGTATACAATCTTTACCCTCTTCCAGCCCTGGAATGGGGCCACACCCCCAGCAGTAGTGCCGGAACTGGGGGAGGCCAAGGGGGCTGCCTCCTTCCTCCCTCCTCCTCCGCTTGATGCCACACCCCCTGGCCAGGCCAGCGTGGAGCCCCGTCTGTTGTGGGAGTTATGCAGACCCTCAACCTGCCCATGGTGTGGGAAGACTGACAGCAGCTCCCAACCCGAGTCCCGCCCGGCCCAGGGCAGCTGGAGGTGGAGGGTCCACGACGCTGCATCAGCTTACCACAGCTGCCCACATGGCTCTCCCTGACCCAGCTCTGTCCAGGAGGGGATGAGGGTCCTCAGAGCCACAGCCTGGCCATGGTAAGAGCCACACCCACAGCTGTGGGGAGCCTGGGTCCCTCCACCTGCCCTGCGTGGGGCACCCAGGGACATGGGCAGGGGGATGCTTTCAGCTCCCCTCTCCACAGGTGGGTGGGAATCCCTGGCCCTCCTCCGGCTTGGCCGGGGGCAGGGCCTCCGGCAGAAGAGGAGGGGCGAGGGTGGGCCCCTGGTGTGAAGGGGAGGGGTCTCCGGGGGAAGTAGGAAGGCAGGGGCCAGGCCCCCACTCCCACCACTTTTGGGAAGACTCCGATGCCCTTCACCCCCAGGGCTTCCTCCCTGGAGACACTGTCTTCCTGGAGCCTTCCCTGGGCTGTCCTTGCTCAGTCTCTGCATCCGGAGGCAGGAGATCCTTCCTAGTTTCCCTGGTCCCTACCCACACTGAGCTGTCCGTGGTCCTGCTGCTCTTCCAGCCAGCCAGGAACAGTTCTTACTCTTCCAGCTCCAGGCAGCAACTGATTGACTCTTGTCTCTGCTGCTCCCTCTTATACGGCCCCCCCTGGCCCCGATTGGCTGCAGGGGAAGACAATCTAGGCCGCTTGGAGAACTTCTCTTCTGCTTCTACCTGGGATGGGGTATGGCAGGACCCTGACATCACCCTGTCATACAGATCATAAGTAAGACTACATTTAGTCATGGGTATTTTTAGTAAAAGTCATAGACAGGTCACGGGTTCACAACCCGTGACTTGTCCATGACTTTTAGTATATACCCCTAACTAAAACTTGGGTGGGGGGGTGCGAGTGCTCTGGGGACGATGGTCCAGGGGTGCTGTGGGTGGTGGGGAAGGTGGTCTGGGACCACACTGCTGCTGAGGGCAGGGGCAGCAGCACGTGGCCCAGGACACTTGCTGGTGCTCGGGGGTGGGGTTTGACAGGGCTGGAAGGGGCTCCCTACCTGACTCCACGTGTTCCTGAAGCTCTTAGGCGGCAGAGAGGCCAGGGGGCTCTGTGCACTACTCCCAGTTCTGCCACAAGCGGCAGCTGCGCAGCTCCCATTGGCCGGGAACGGCAGCCAATGGGAGCTGCAAAGGTGAGGCCTGTGGGCGCAGGCAGTGCACAGTACCCCCTGGCCCCTCTTCCACCTATGAGTTGCAGGGCCATGCCAGTGGGAGCCAAGGAGCCCTCCACTCCAAGGTAAGTGCCGCCGCCCCCGCCCCCGGCACTCCCCAGCCCCTATCCCTGAGCCCCCTCCCATACACCCAAACTGCTGCTGCTGGCCCAGGGGCTGCCCGGCTCAGGCAGCCCCTGAGCCAGCACCGGCCGCTGCAGAAGTGACAGAGATCATGGAAAGTCACGGAATCCGTGATTTCCATGACCTCCATGACAGACTCGAAGGCTTCATCATGAGATATGTGCACTTGTTAATTTTATTTTTATATATATATATATATATATATATATATATATATATTGGGTTTTTCATGTTTTTATAAAAATATATTAAGAATTGAGAGTGAAATACTCAGATATCCCAAGGACCTACCACACTTTTACTTGCAATGGGGCTGTGTTGAGGGAGTTTAGGTGGAGGAGTCACGTGGGGTGTCTCACTTTAGTTTAGAGGGTTGTTTAGTTGGTTGGGGAAGGAGCTGCAGGATACAGGCTTATATGGATCTAGTGCCACCAAACCCTGCTTATTCGGCACTGAAGGATCAGATGCTGTTATTATTCAAGGGAATGGGCTGGAACAGTAGCCCTGGTGATGCTGTGTGGCAGCCCGCCATTTTGGTATGTGTATGAATTCCATCTCCTTTTCCATGCTTATTTCCCTGCACAAAAGTCTGTCTAATTGGGTTTTATGCAGAGAGGGGTTTATTTCACTTAGAAGGAGTGATATCAGGCAGAAGCAGAGTTAATATAATGTTCTTTAAAAAGGCTAAAGTCTCAAAAAAGCTTTAATCAGAGACACACTAACCAAATACCATTGTGCCCTTTCTACATAGCATGATGGACCATCAACTAGAGCTACGAACTCCATAGCTTCTTCTGTGCATGCCACCAATTTGTGACAAGTTGAAAAATATTATGGCAAAGTTGTAGCCTCTCTATAATTAAGACTGCAGCTCAATGTCCATTGTAAACCCCACTTGGTCCCAAAATTGGTACCTAAGGCCTGTGGCCAACCAATATAGCTCTACAGTAGTGCGGCATAATAATCATATTCTCTTGTGTTGTAAAGCTTCTCTATACACGGGTATATAACCATTTCTAGGCAATACACATCCAAATCCCTGTGCATCAAGAAGATGATGTATCCTGCAGAGGGACTCTCAACTACTTTTACATTTTCCTCTGAGGAAATGGCCATCCCTTCAAAGAGAGCCAATGTCATCTTGAAAAGCTTTACATAAATACAGCAGCTCTATCCAAACCGTGAAACTGCTACATGCTGAATTAATTAATTCTATTAATTCTATTAACTATTAAAATAACAAATCTATTATTTCCATACTACTATAAAATAGCGAATATGTATTTATGTTTTTCCTCACATCCTCTCATCCCCCAAAGCTCAGACTAACCTCAGTGACTTTTCAATATCTAAAATATAAATAGTGGTTTGCACAAAACAGCAGCAACAAAAAGCAGGCTAGTAATGATCTCCACTTCTCTCAGAAAACAAAAAAAAATGACTGTGGAGTTTTTATATTGCCTATTTTCCTTTCATTACAGCTATTACAAATTTCAATTATGAGTAGTAATTTGTAAATAAACACAGTTAATTAAAAGCCATTACAATCTAGCATATTTCTAAGCCACTGCAAATTTTAGTACTTAAAATTAGCTTTGCTTTGAAGTTTTCTGACTTTATATTGTATACTTAAAAATAAGGATATAGTTACAACTGGTAGGTCTTATAAACAACAGTATGTAGGAAAGCTACAAAAAGTTGTTTTTCTTTAGAAACTCCACAAGGAAGGAAGCAAAGCTAAGGTCTTAGGAAAATTAGTAGCAATGCAATAAGAAGTGAGCTATATTTACACGAGTGTAAAACACCATCCAAATATTTGCTAGCTTTATGAACAAATGTATACTTTTAATGGGCCTTACCTGATACAGAGACTGTATGCGACCTTACTCCTTGCTTCTCATTGTTGGCCAGCCTGTAAAATAAAGGTTTAAATCGGTGAATGCTGTACATTCTTCACGGTTGAATACACTGTGAATTCATTCTAACAGGGCACCTACTGTAATTAGTAGAGCCAATCCATTCCCACAGAGACAAATTTTGAGGGGGAGAAAATTAAAAGAGGAATGTACCATCTTAAGTCCACCTGGGGGAGTAAGAGTGAAGGGAATGCTTTAAGAAGTCCATTTTAAAAAGCACAGAAATTCATTATGACATAAGCATAGTTCAAGAAAAGCTTGTTTTTAACAAATTTGACCAAACAAATTTTAAAAATACATTTCTAAACAGCATCAGTTTATTTACCCAATTCAATAGTATGTCCACTTTTTAAATTACATATTGGAAACTTAAAATGAAAACAGGTTTCAGAGTAGCAGCCATGTTAGTCTGTATTCGCAAAAAGAAAAGGAGTACTTGTGGCACCTTAGAGACTAAAAGTTTTGCGAATACAGACTAACACGGCTGTTATTCTGAAACCTAGGTAACTACTGGAGGCCAAAATATAATTTAAAGCAGAGTGATGGGTTACCTTGGTTTATTCTGCAATTTTTTGTGTACCCTTCTGGCAGAGTAAATTGGCTTTTTGTCTAAAATGTGATTTATTTATGTACAATTGAATAAACAGTTTTCAATGATTTTCTATGTCAGGTAAATAACTAATGACTAATTGCATTTATCAGTCTACTAAACATCAACAGTAAAAGAAACACTCTGGTTAGCCGTTTCAGTAAATTATTATATTTTCTTTTTACAATAGAAGAAAAGAACCATGCACTCTTCATTTATGAAACAGAAATCTGATCTGCGAAAGGAAAGCCTTTCCAGATGCAAGATGTGTTGCCTAAAACTTATGAATATTTGACCCAAGAACAGTCTGCTACTGTCACAAGAAGAGCATATATAGTACCTGTTACAGAGTAACAGCCGTGTTAGTCTGTCTTTGCAAAAAGAAAAGGAGTACTTGTGGCACCTTAGAGGCTAACCAATTTATTTGAGCATGAGCTTTCGTGAGCTACAGCTCAGCTGTAGCTCACGAAAGCTCATGCTCAAATAAATTGGTTAGCCTCTAAGGTGCCACAAGTACTCCTTTTCTTTTTATATAGTACCTGTAATTCAACAGTATGGAATGTGCAAAATTACATTTTAACTCACTGTTACTAATAGAAGCTCTTCTAGAAAACTGTTATTTCATCACAGAAAGCTTAGCAGCTGAAAAAACTTTCAATACAAATCTAATGCATTTAAAAATTAATTATTTCCTACTTATCCCCTGTATCCATTTTATGTAAAAATATTTTTATTCTAGCATCTCATGCATTAGCCCCTCTGAACAACCACATAGTCCGATTGATTTTACCGTTGCCCTTCCTTTCCTGCAATCTTGTTGCCCCCTTTGTTGCGGCATGCCTAATATTAGGCAAGCTACTCCTCAGAGGTGGCCCCCCTACTCATGTGGAGATCCAGTAAAACCAATGGGTCTTTACCATGAATAGATCATACCGATTAATTGCTGTGCTTCATTTCCATGCAGGAAGACACCTTTTTCTCTTATAGGAAAGCGATCACTTTGTTTTGCCCATATGGTCAGCTTAATAAATTACAACTGAAACGTACAGACAAGAGCAATTTTTTCTGAAGGTATTACTTCATAGATACTCTGGTTCAGGAGAGCACTGAAGCATGTGCTTATGTGCTGTCATGAACAGGGATGCTTTTATAAACTGGTGCCTTAAACTGTAAATAATGTATGCAGCATTGCAGTGCTTAATTTGTAATGAAAAAGGCACCAGGGCTCAGGCAATTTTTTTTACTTTCATAACTGATGTGGCAAGCCCAGAGGTGCCGGGGCTCAGAATTGCTACGCCCAGAGGTGCCGGGGCTCAGAATTGCTACGCCCAGAGGTGCCGGGGCTCAGATTTGGCAGCTCAGGCACAAATTAAGCATTGCAGCATTGTTGTAGTTATGTTGGTCCCAGGATATTAGCAAGACAAGGTGGGTGAGATAATATTTTGTACTGGACCAACTTTGGTTGTGAGAGAGACTCTAAAGCTTGTCTCTCTCACCAACAGAAATTAATCCAATAAAAAAAAATCTGTAAATAATAGTATTTCTAACCTACAGTCTGCTTTAAAATGTCAGGCTTGCTTTTGGAGAATCATTGATTTTCTCCTAGTGCCAGGGATCAGATATGCAACCACACACTTTATACATCTGTGGAAACTGATGTAATTTAGGTTGTGATTTTAAGTATTGTTAAAGAAAAAATGTTGTATGGAATCCAATAAGAATAGAAATGTAGCATGGGGCACGGGTCACTTGCTGGAGGATTCTCTGCTCCTTGAAGTCTTTAACCACGATTTGAGGACTTCAATAGCGCAGACATAGGTGAGAGGTTTTTCGCAGGAGTGGGTGGGTGAGATTCTGTGGCCTGCGTTGTGCAGGAGGTTAGACTAGATGATTATAATGGTCCCTTCTGACCTTAAGATCTATGAATCTATGAACAGAATCCCTATGAAAATTATTTTTTGTTGGGATTTAAGTATTTGCTTGTGATGTTTGTAACCCATATTCTGCAACACTCTGTTTATACCTGAGAATCAGAAACTGAAACTGACTTAAGGTTTGTCTACACTTCACACTCCTTTCAGCAATGGGTAGTGTATGGGTACCACATCCCACCTAGCACAGATATAAACAGCAATGTAGATGGTGAGGCACCGCTTACACAAGTAGCGTAAAGACATGCCTGAACCCTGTGGGTACGTACCCTACATGGCTCTCTGCTCGCCCAAGCCGTGCATCTTCCATTTGCACTGCTAAAAGGAAGCTGTTTCCCTGCTGCTGGAGGCTTTCCCCACCTCAGGGAGCTGACAGAACCTTTCCCCACTGCTTCCCCACACCAGAGCCTTTACTCACCACAGTGAAAGGCTCCAGCAGCAGGAAACTGCAAGAGCCTTTCCCCTCTCCTCCCTTTCACTTACACATGTAGCTACATGCCTCCTACTTGCCGCCATTAGTGACGTGTAGTACCGATGTAGCCTTAGAGTAGTTTCACTCTCCAAGATCAGTGAAATGTTGACAGGATTTTTAATTATCAAAGGTAGTGTTAGAACACAGGCAAGGACAAAAATAGCTATTTTTATTCTAACGGGCTCCCTAGGTGAACAGTTATAGTTTGCTAAAAACATCATTTTTAGGTATCCTTTTTTTCGAAATTTCCAGATTCAAGAGCTGGTACCTGGTTCTGCCTACAATGGTCTGTGCTGTGCCTTGGCCGGAGACAACTTTCAATAGGTTCATTGGAGTGGGATGCTGACAACTGGATTTTTCCAGAATGAGCAGCCCAGCACGGTGTCCAACATCACAACATAGGGGTTGTGGAAGGTTTCCCAGTGAAGACATTAGGGCTTGATACAAAGCCTATGAGTCTTTCTGCTGCGTTCAAAGGGCTTTGGATCAGTGCCTAAAATCCTATCTAACTGTGTCTGGGGCAGGACCAGAGTCCCTGCTCCTGCATGATGATGGATAGTTCCTTCACGTTTCAGTTTAATGCTGAAAAAAAGTGACTCTCTGGTTGTACATAACTCAATTCACTCTAAACTTGAGCTGTCCTAAAAGTGGATTTTGGTGCCTAAGCTTTTCATGCTTCAGACAGGCAGACAGGTGACCAAACAATTCATATGTTAGAGTGGCTTAAGTATAAGGGTCAACAAGCATAAGGTTGGCAGGTGGTAATGGGGCTTTGCCCACTTTTTTCTTAATGTTTTTCCTTGTCTTGTGTAAATTGTAGCTCCCCTGCAAAGATGGGCAACCAAATTCAGGATGAGACTGCACACAGGCTTTGGGGTGGACCTTCCCCTCTCATTTTGGCACATAATTAGTGGTTTAACCTATTGCCAGCCTTGAGCCTGATGAGTGTGTGGCTAAAAATACCTCTGATCCTGATTGCTAACCTGGGAGAGAATGACCTAGTGAATGGAGTGGGTTTGTCAGTACAGGTCAAGTGGGTCTTGAAGTTGCTATAGCAGAGTTTCCCCCATGCTACAATTGGTGTGTTATGAAATGCAGCCCCAAGGACAAAATAAGCATTCCAAGGTCAAGCGGTACTGGAAACAGGAGATGTTAAAACACTTGTCTGGCATTGGGTGGAAGTGGAAGGAAAGTGAGTCTTGACACCATTTAATTAAGAATTTCTAGGTTCTGGTGGCAGAGTGCCCCACCATGTCTTGGACACAGGATGGCTGCCTAGCATTGGTCGGAGATATTAGCATCTATTTGTCTGACACACATTGGCATTCTCTACAGCTCCATAGTCATGGCTGGAACAGTATTTAGCTACCCATTAGGCATTTTTTTTTTTGGTAATTTAACAGGCTACAAAATTAAGGTGCATTTTAATATTACTGATATTATTTATTATTTGTCTTACAATAGTCCCTCAAGGACCCAGCTGAGAGTAAGCCCCATTGTGATAAGTACTGTACAAACAGGAAGAGACAGTCCCAGTCCCACAGAGCTTACAATCTAAATAGATAGGATGACCAATGGTTGGAGAATGGAAACATTACTTCCATTTCACAGATCCAGCATTGAGACAGAGAGATTTAGCCCCCAATTCAGCAAGGTACTCAAACACTTAACTACTCATGTGCTTAAATTTATGCACATGTTTAGAATACCTGATTTCCTGAATCCTATTCCAGTGCTTTAAACAAAGGATTGCCCTTTCTCCTAGTCAAATCTCATCCATGGTGGTTAACACTTTTTCCTCAGATCTTTTCTTGAATACCATTTGTATCCTTTACATCACCTGTCACTTATCTAAATTGCATGGTCTCATATGATTACACATTATTCTTGTATTTGCCTAAAGCAACAATAAAAATGAAATATATATTTTAAAAACCTAGGGTGTCATTTACATGAATCTCAACAAAACTTTTTAGAACTCAAAACTGATGTTTCTTAATGACAAATTACAGGCAAAACTTACTTTGGTATTGATGGTAAAGCTCTTTCACCTTCTGCATAAAGAGAAAAGAACAAGGTTAATATTTTATTTACATGTTATTGATTAAATTCCCTGTACAATATTTATACACATAAAATCCTGTCTCATCACAATAGCCTCTCAGGGAAATCACCTATAGAATCAAAAGATCATTCTATATTCTTATTACAGCAGCATATCACACAATATTATAATCTTGTTAACAGGCTATACAGAACTTCTCATTGAATCTCATCCATATGGTTTTCAGTTTTTCCTCAGATCTTTAGCCTTTTTTTCAATATTCAGAACAGAATTTAACTTAGTCAGATCACTGCAGAAAATGACAGTACTGTAATTCCTTCCTCTATTAATGAACATTTTATAAGATACACCTAATACATAACTATAGATGAAGAAGCTATTCAAAACTAATCTGAACCATCCTAATCAGTACATAAGAGACACTGTATGAAGCATTACACTAGCTAATACAGCATTTTGTAATATGATTTATTATTTGGACTCTATAATAAAGGGACACCACCTGCTCAATAGCGAAAGATAAATTAGATTCTCATTATAAGTCCAATTTTCAAACTCTCCTCCCAACCTCTCCAAAAAGAAAATGTACTTCCTGAAAAGAATTCTGCTTTTTTTTTTTAGCTAATAATATCACTAAAATGCTTGGGCCTAGATAAACTCAATTTTTTTTTTTTTTTTTTGGCTGACTGTGATGAGAAGTGTCTTTTATCGCAGTATCTTTGTGGGAGGTTAGTAGGGAAGTTACAAAGAACAAAAACAATCTGTGATACTGCACCCTAAAGTAGGCAGGGAAGGAGATTATTAGTGGTTGTTAAAACAGAACTATAAAAAGGAGTCATTGGAATACTGAGGAATACTTTTCCTGAGGGGGAAAAAGAAGAGGAAAGTGCCACAGGTTCAGGAAACAAGGAGGATGTGGGAACGGGATATCTACTGTATATAAAAGACTCTGTAAGTTCAGGACTGTTTGTTTTTCCCTGGCTGAGCAAATGTAAGCTTTGACCAGATGAAAGAAAGCTCCAGTTTTGCCTCCAGGTACCTTAGGATGGGATGGAGAAACACTGCACACAGATATATGTGCTCTAAAATGTCAGGCTGAAATATTTTATGTCTCCTTGGCCCTACACACAATTATAGTACCTGTAGCTATGGCTTTGGCTACACATGAAAACAGCTCTGTATTGGTGTATAAACAGGAAATTTTACATTATTTTTAATGTTTATAAACAGAAATATATCATCTGCAACTGACTCCAGGCATAGATTAGATAGAGTAGAATATGGGAGGGAACACAAAGGGGCAGGAGTTTGGGAGTGGGCATGGTGTGGGGTCAGTGGTCTGAGAGGGCCAGAGATTGGGGCTTGAGAACTGGACGGCATGGAAGCTGGGCTGCCAGTCTTGGAATTGGGGCTGGGGAGGGGGATCTGGGAAAGGCAGTGTCTGGAGGCGCGACAGGACTTTGGCAGAGCACAATAAAAGTGCTGGGTTTTGAAGGTGGCTTGTATGAAGGTGCAAGGGAATGATGGTGAGAGACAGGGAAAGATAGAGATTCTTAGTCATGTTCAACTCAACATTTTATATATCTTTAAACTTGTAAACACTTAAAATTTTCATTGTGGATAAAAACCTGCCTATGCCCATCTTTTTCACTCCACTCTCCTCTACCCTCACATTGCACCCAAACCATAACCTTCTGCCCACTGCCCCTCCTACATTTGCTAAAGTGTATAGGATGGGTACCTTGCTTTGAGAGGCCTCATAAGATCAGTCAGAGTTGGACTCCTCTTTCGACCTCAATTCACCCCCCCTTTTTGTTTTGTTTTTTTAAACAAGGTTTCCATTTCCAAACTCTAAAGAGTAATGGTAATAAAATATAATAGTTTTAAGAACTCTCTTTAGTACCAGAGTAACACTGAACAGAACTTGTGCTCTTATCTCCGGGCTGGTTGGGGATGGAAGCGCAATGGAGACTGTATGCTCAACCTTGGGGAAAAAGAAGGAGCACACTGTACCTCTCTAAAGCAACCTCCTAATTTGTGCACAAATTAGCACTCCCTGTATGCACAGACCTTTGCTGCTGGAGGATCACCAACAAGAGGAGAGACAAAAAGGGGAAAAAGAGGAGGATCTTGAATGATATGCCCCCGAATGTCTACACTATCAAGTATCAGAGGCAACATCACTGTTTACAGTATAGAAAAGATTGAACTGCATTGCAATGCTGTTAAAATTGCATTTCTTTAAACATGAATTGATCACTCCAGGTAAGCCCAGGAAGGCTGGCCTTTACAATATGAGACAAAAGCATTCCTGTCACAATTGTAAGATCATAAGTACTTGTACAGCTCTGAGATCTGAAACATATCACTAAGACCGGTCCATTGCAGAGGCATTCATTTTTCATTTCAAGAGCTGAGAAACAACTGTATTCTACCATCCTCTTCCAATATTCAGTTTAAAAGCCAGGTGTGCACAGCAAAGACATATTAAAAGGTCTTTCAGATATATTTGGATTTACCACAATTTAAACTTCATTTACATCAGAAATGAAATAATTTTCAAAGCAAACAAATGCTCTAATAAAATGCTTGTCAAAAGTATTCCATAAGAACAGCCATACTGGGTCAGACCAATGGTCTGTCTAGCCCAATATCTTGTCTTCCAATAGTGACCAATGCCAGGTGCGTCAGAGGGAATGAACAGAACATGTAATTGTCAAGTGACCCATCCCGTCACCCATTCCCAGCTTCTGGCCAACAGACTCTAGGCTAGGGACACTTCAGAGCATGGTTTTGTATCCCTGCCCATCCTGACTAATAGACATTGACAAGAATGAGGGGGGATTTGATAACTGCTTTCAACTCCCTGAAAGGGGGTTCCAAAGAGGATGGATCTAGACTGTTCTCAGTGGTAGCGGATGACAGAACAAGGAGTAATGGTCTCAAGTTGCAGTGGGGGAAGTTTAGGTTGGATATTAGGAAAAACTTTTTCACTAGAAGGGTGGTGAAGCACTGGAATGGGTTACCTAGGAAGGTGGTGGAATCTCCTTCCTTCGAGGTTTTTAAGGTCAGGCTTGACAAAGCCCCGGCTGGGATGATTTAGTTGGTCCTGCTCTGAGCAGGGGTTTGGACTAGATGACCTCCTAAGATCCCTTCCAACCCTGATATTCTATGATTCTATGACCTATCCTCCATGAACTTGTTTAGTTCTTTTTTTGAACCCTGTGATAGTCTTGGACTTCACAACATCCTCTGGCAAGAAGAGTTCAACAAGTTGACTATCCGTTATGTGAAGAAATATTTCCTTTTGTTTGTTTTAAACCTGCTGCCTATCAATTTCATTTGGTGACTCCTAGTTCTTGTGTTATAAGGAGTTAATAACACTTCCTTATTTATTTCCTCCACACCAGTCATGATTTCATAGACCTCTATCATATCCCCCCCTTAGTTTCCCTTTTCCAAACTGAAAAGTCCCAGTCTTATTAATCTCTCCTCATATAGAAGCTGTTCCATACCCCTAATAATTTTTTCTGCCCTTTTCTGTACCTTTTCCAATTCCAATATATCTTTTTTTGAGATGGGGCAACCACATCTGCACGCAGTATTCAAGATGTGGGTGTACCATGGATTTATATAGAGGCAATATGATATTTTCTGTCTTATTATCTATCCCTTTCCTAACGACTCCTAACATTCTGTTAGCTTCTTTGACTGCCACTGCACACAGAGAGGATGTTTTCAGAGAACTATCCACAATGACTCCAAGATCTCTTTCTTGAGTGGTAACAGCTAATTTAGACCCATCACTTCATATATATAGTTGCAATTATGTTTTCCAAACAATTAGTGTGATACAATATCTAGTGAGAAGATATTTTGCTATTCTGACAGTAGGATGAAAAAATTCAATTAGTACTTGAAAATGAAACATTTCAAATGACTGAATAATGAACACAATTATTTGGACAACTTTCCATCTTACTTAATTTTGATTTTAAGTATTTAAGATTGATTTTGATTTGATTATGATCTCTTCAGAAAGGAGACAAAGAGGAAATAATGTTTGACTATAAAGATTGGTTTTGGTATATAGGCATAACCAGCTACATGCTTCATCTATTCATGTATTTCTCCATAGCATTTCAGAAAGAGTCTTTGAGCAGTTTGTTAATCAATGCAAAATTGCCAAACTGATACAGTAGCTCAAAACTTCAGTCACAAGATTTAGATTTCAGGAAAGGCACTGGACTGCTGTAACCATTTAGTGTACCAGATCATGAAGATGCTAACAACTTAGTTCCGGTCTTCAAGTCTTTATAAAAGTCATTTGATTAATACTCTTCTTCCATCAATTATTAGGTTAGCCTAATTTCACTTGATTTAGCAAAATATTTATGAAACAACAGGACAAATAAAAAGTAGAACTCTAAATTTTCAGGCTTTAAACAAAACTACTAATAGTGCTCTCTCAACAAATACAAATTTACAGCATCTCAATAATTTATGTATAGTGTTAATATCCCAAAGACATGGCTTTCTTCAGTGATCCAGAGTGATAATTTGTAAGGACCCTTGCCATAATGAGCCAAAAGGAAAAAAATGTTCAAACAAGAGAAAAGACCTATTGAGTTTGGAGCCAGAGCTGCTATAAAGATTTTTTTCTGGCATAGCTTATATAATCAAAGCTCATTTCAGGAGAAGGCTCTTGGAATTCTGGATCCGGGTTGGGGAAGAGCTTTCCCTGTAGAAAGTTTTAATTAGTATTTGATGAGGCTGAATATTGCCATGAGATTAAAAAAAAAACCAAACAAACCTCAAAGAAAAAACATTGAAGAGACCCCAGTTGAAAGGGGACTCAGTCTGCAGGTTCTAGAACCACATCTTAGTAACAAAACACAGGAAAGTGTGTGGTTTCTTAAAATGTAATTTTCATCCTGACAGAATCCAAGCTGATCTGACAGACAAGATAACAAAGCTGTTTGGACAGGAGGAAGGGTTCAAGCGGGCAGATTCACTTATAAGGATGTCAACAAGTGCAAGTGTTTTTAGCATCTCAGTGTATGGTATACCTCACATTTGTAAATCTGCCTGGTATATTTACTCAGATGAAAGTAAATAAATTGAGCAAAAGTCTCCTTTATTTAATCCTTAAGAGACTTTCCCAGGATATTTGATAATAAATTCACACTTTCTTAAAAAAAATCAAGTTTCTGTCAAGGAGAAATGACTAAAATGACTAAAAGCCATATGCTTCCCTTGAATGTAGCTGTGACTGCTTACAGTCCCTCCCCACTCCCATTTTGTATTAAAACAACTGATTCAATTTGGTATCAAAATACTATAGAACACTTGCTCTGCTTTAACTATATTTTGTGAGAAAGGACCACAATACACCAAGGCTAATAAATGAAAATGGAGCAGTTTAAGAATATTTGGGAGGAAGAGAATTTTTAGTTTCATCGTATCATGAGTCAGAAACCCATTCTAACTGGCCCAGATTGATTTTCAAGAAATAGTTCCTCATTAGATGTGCCTGTAATTACAATTTATAATTTACAATTTATAAATTACAATTTATTTTCTATCATTTGCAGCTACCTTTATAACAGTGTAAAGAAATTACTGGTGGAAACCTATCTAAATTATCCATCATTAAGTGACCTTTCACATGAAGATATCTACTAACAGTTTTTTTAACAATAACAATCTCCCATATTTCCTGATAAAAAGAGAGCAGCCGCCCCCCCGCGAGTAAGATTTTGTTGTTACCTTGCATCTACAGTTTAATTTTCAAGTAGTATATCACGAATTGGACTATCACAAAGTAAATTCTTTCCTGAATGAAACAACAACTTACCTTTCTGAGGCCTGATAATAAAAGACTGCGTGGCTCCATTCACCAGTCTGCAGTATCCGTCTATCAGGTCAGCCATATTCTCTGCAATGGTTAAGGATGGTGCTGTCACTGTCAGAGGCTAAGAAAAAAAAACAAACAAAAAAAAAAAACAAGGCACCAACAAGAGAGGCATTATTTTGGTCGCAAGCATTGAGCAGAACAGCTGTGCCACTGTATCAGAGATTTGTACATACTTGAAAACATTAAACAAAGATGTGGGCAAGAGTAAAATTAAATACAAAATTAAATTAAAAGATTATTAGCAGTGATTATTTGCACTCTGGTAGCACCAACAATATACTAAGTGCCATCCGCATCCACAGCAGGACACGGTAATACAACATATATTAAAATATTTTTGCAGAGGAATATCAGTCCCAATTAATACCCCTAAAGAATAAGGTCTGAAGGGGCAGCAAATTAAAACTTTGTTCCTAAATGGAAAACTAACCTGGTCTTATTTTAGTGGTTTCTCAGGCTAGCCTCTAGTGGCCAATTGTCCACACCAAAAAAATCAACACTGAAGTCACAATCTTGACATATTTCAGAGTAGCAGCCGTGTTAGTCTGTATTCGCAAAAAGAAAAGGAGTACTTGTGGCACCTTAGAGGCTTACAAATTTATCTGAGCACAAGCTTTCATGAGCTACAGCTCACTTCATCGGATGCATTCCGATGATGTGAGCTGTAGCTCAAGAAAGCTTATGCTCAAATAAATTTGTTAGTCTCTAAGGTGCCACAAGTACTCCTTTTCTTTTAATCTTCACATAATTTTCTTCTGCTGTGGAAGCTGTTTATTCCTCAGAACTCTTAAAGGTGATGATATCTCCACCATGCTTTCCTTTTTTACGCTCCTACAGTAACACATTCCCTGCCCTAATAGTAAGTCTCCTCCAACTTTAAAAAGTCCAAGCTTAAAGACTGTTTTGGCATTAACTGTTCATTCCAACATTTTATTCTTTCTCCTCCATGTGGACACAGACAGCTTGTCCTCTCTCTTTTTCAAATCCTCAGAGGCTGCATTGTCCAGTGGATAGGACACAAGGACAGGAGATGTGATTTCTATTCCCAGCTCTGTCACTAGCTCACAAAATGACCTTGGGGAAGCCACCCCTTGGTGCTTTAGTTTCCCCATCTATAAAATGGTGACAGTACTACTTAATCACCATTTGGAGATCTATGAATGAAAAATGTGATGCACACTCACTCCAATTCTTATTAATGCTAGAGCAGCAGGACACTTAGTTTATTTATTTGTGCTTCTTTAAGGCTTACATCTTTTTAATCTACACTCTTTTACAAAAATTAAAATAAACAAAACTGAAAATAGAATCACAGAGAATATGGTGAACTGCAAACACGATGTTAAAATAACTGGCAACAATAATCATAATAACCTGACCACTCTTTCTATTAACTCACCCTCTCCCCCAAAGACCCAAGAAAAAAAAGAAGAGTTTTGCAGAATGCCTGGAAAGTAATGAATGCAGCTGTTATAATTTATTTGTGTTATGTAAGGCTTAGAGACTCCAACAGACACCGGGGGTCCCACTCTGCAATTAACTGTAAAAACACATTGTAAGGCAGTCCCCTGTCTCAAAGAACTTACCATCTAAATAGACAAGACAAAGGGAGGAGGAGAAACAGAAGTACAGAAAGGTCAAGTGACTTTCCCAGGTCATACAAATGGTCAATGGCATAGGCAGGAATAGACCCCACTAGACCACAGTAACCTCCAGCTCTCACAGATAAAGATCGTCTTCCTCATTCATTATTCTTTAAAAAAGGGAAGGAGGAGGATCCTGGGAACTACAGGCCAGTCAGCCTCACCTCAGTCCCTGGAAAAATCATGGAGCAGGTCCTCAAGGAATCAATTCTGAAGCACTTAGAGGAGAGGAAAGTGATCAGGAACAGTCAGCATGGATTCACCAAGGGCAAGTCATGCCTGACTAATCTAATTGCCTTCTACGACGAGTAACTGGCTTTGTGGATGAGGGAAAATGGTGGACGTGTTGTTCCTTGACTTTAGCAAAGCTTTTGACATGGTCTCCCACAGTATTCTTGCCAGCAAGTTAAAGAAGTATGGGCTGGATGAATGGACGATAAGGTGGATAGAAAGCTGGCTAGATCGTCGGGTTCAACAGGTAGTGATCAATGGCTCCATGTCTAGTTGGCAGCCGGTATCAAGCTGAGTGCCCCAAGGGTCGGTCCTCGGGCCGGTTTTGTTCAATATCTTCATAAATGATCTGGAGGATAGTGTGGATTGCACCCGCAGCAAGTTTGCAGATGACACTAAACTGGGAGGAGAGGTAGATACACTGGAGGATAGGGCTAGGATACAGAGGGACCTAGACAAATTGGAGGACTGGGCCAAAAGAAATCTGATGAGGTTCAACAAGTGCAGAAGGCCAATGGCATTTTGGGATGTATAAGTAGGGGCATTGCCAGCAGATCGAGGGACGTGATCGTTCCCCTCTATTCGACATTGGTGAGGCCTCATCTGGAGTACTGTGTCCAGTTTTGGGCCCCACACTACAAGAAGGATGTGGAAAAATTGGAAAACGTCCAGCGGAGGGCAACAAAAATGATTAGGGGACTGGAACACATGACTTATGAGGAGAGGATGAGGGAACTGGGATTGTTTAGTCTGCGGAAGAGAAGAATGAGGGGGGATTTGATAGCTGCTTCCAACTACCTGAAAGGGGGTTCCAAAGAGGATGGATCTAGACTGTTCTCAGTGGTAGCTGATGACAGAGCAAGGAGTAATGGTCTCAAGTTGCAGTGGGGGAGGTTTAGGTTGGATATTAGGAAAAACTTTTTCACTAGGAGGGAGGTGAAATGCTGGAATGCGTTACCTAGGGAGGTGGTGGAATCTCCTTCCTTAGAAGTTTTTAAGGTCAGGCTTGACAAAGCCCTGGCTGGGATGATTTAGTTGGAGATTGGTCCTGCTTTGAGCAGGGGGTTGGACTAGATGACCTCATGAGGTCCCTTCCAACCCGATATTCTATGATTCTGACCACATCACATACACCCATCTTTAAATTCTTCCATTAGCCCCCTCTTCTCCATTACACCAAATTCAAGCTTCTCTCTCTTCCATTGCTTTGCCTTACTGTACTCCAGATTATTTATCTGACCTAGTCCCCTTATCACACTGCCTGCCTGTTCACCCCCCTAGTCTCCATCAATTCTGCCAGCCTCTATGCTCTGTTTGTAGGTTTTTTCCACAGTGGTCTCCGTGACTTTTTCCATGTTGCCCCCATGCATGGAATGCCCTCCATGACCAAGTTCACCAAGCTACCTCTTTCCCCCTATTTCAAATCCTTTCTTGAGGCAAAAAAAAGGTCCACCAAAACCTTTTGTCTTATTTCACGTATTTACTTACTTTACATATTTTTAATACAAAAAATCCCTAATAATATTTCCCCCATGCTGTGCACACATCTTTCTTGTGTAACCACAGAATTTTGTTACTGTGTCCACTGTCTTCCCTCCTTCAATACAACTGCACAGGGCCATGTCATTTAGATTGTAAGAGCTTTGGTGCAGGAAACCTGTCCTATTTATTTGTGGTAGCAAATTTTTGGCTGCTGTGAAATTATTATTCATAATAATCCTATCCACTTTATTCTCAACTTTTCATAAAATCTAGTACTGATTTCAGACAGCTCTTGCTAATCTCTAATATTTGTGCTGAATAAGTGCATCATAATGTGCCTATAGAACTAATATAAAACCAAGCCAGGTACTGAAATCCAAGAATTCCAGAAGGGAAAAGCCAGCGGAACAAACCCCAGGCCCTTTATTTTTCTAAGTTAAAAATATACATACATTTAAAATTCAAAGTAACAAACCTATAACGTTCAATCCAGTATTATTACAAATTCTTGTAATGTATTTGGTACTCTGAACAACCAATTGTTAGGACTATTTTTCCTCCCTATAGGACATGAACTACTCTTCTCTGAGCTTTGGTTAATGTTGACATGGTGTAAAATTCTCTTTGCTCTAATTTAAATTTTCCAATCTATAATATTAACAGGTAAATAAAAATGTCAGAGACTCAGCTTGGTGATAATTTAAGGGAAAAAAAGACCTCAAACAGGCAGCCACTTAAATATTTTCAGTAAACAAATTTATTCTGTTTTATTATAATTAGATTGCAAAAGAGAGACTTAAAAAGCATTACTACACACAGAATAATTTCCTCAAGCTCCATTATTGGTATTAGTATATATATATACACACACACCTGTGTAACTGTTGGAAACCATTTCAATGTAATTTTCTTATAGGATAGAGAAACAAATTATACATAAATTTTATCAATAACTTTAAGGTTACCACAGCAGTCAATATCTTACCTCAGGTGCTCCTGCTATTTTGAGCTGTAACATCCCTTTTCTATCCTTGTCTTCACTGTTTGAATACTGAATAGTCTGCACTTGATTGAAATCTGCCAGGTGGGTAGGCTGCAGAAAAGCATATATAAAAAATGAGATATGCCTAAGAATTGCATAATACCTTGACTCTCCTCTACATTCCCAGTATCTCACAGATGTATAGAATTGAACCGCTACATTACATTGAGCAAGCTTGAATTCATATCTGCCAGATATCAATTCCGGTCTCATTGTGTCATAACCCTCAACACTCCCTCCTCCAATTTCTATGGATTTTACACCCTCATCATGGTAATCATGTTTGTAAGTGAGGAGGGGTGGACTGAAGCCAGTCAATACCACTCCTTATTTGCCTGAAGGGGTCACTGTTAAATAAGGATAGTTATCTTTTCGCGAGTCAGTGCAAAACACACCACAATCAGTAGGTCAATCAGACTGTGTCCACATTCATAGCATACTCAAAGGAAAACATTCTTTGGAGTGCTCTAAGTGGAATGTTCTCAACTGAACACACCACTGATTTCCAAACATTTCTGTAATCTCTGAATTAAATATAGTGAAAGTTAATACACAGCGTAACACAAAGCACAACAGTACAAGCTGCCAGATGTGTGGTGGTTATTCCTGTGTGTTTTCTCGAGGCAGGAGGGGATGGGTGTCTGGGTGCTATAACTTAGTCAAATGAATTTACTTCAGACAAAAGTAAAATGATGCACTACAAAATAAATGAACTAAATATCAAAACAAAAACAGATATGCTACACTTTCTGGTATCGAGATACTACAGAAATTGTTACACTACAACAGCTTTTAAATGACAGATAAAAGTGCTGAAGGATTTATTTAGCCAAGTAAATATTCTGCTTAAAAAAAGCGTTACAGATGTGAAATACCTAAATTATTATTTTTGTTTTTCAGATGTCACCACCAATATTTTAGATTCCTTAAATGTGTGCCTCAATGGGTATCAAAAGCCAGCAAATCCAGAGTTAAGGTCAGTCGTGGCTCTATTTCACACCATTGTGCTTTCTCCCCATCGCACAGCATGAGTTAATGCTCGAGTAACAGCTTTTACTTTGAATTTTCTGCCTTTTCTTAGTTTGGCTCAAAGATTAGACTTTTCATTCATCTTTGTCTGAAGTCCCATTCACAACAAGCTGTGCCTCACTCCATAGCCTTTAAGACAATCATTGAGACAGGAAAACAGAAGCAGACTTACATTAGAGCCCTTGTCTGTAAGGTAACTGATTCCTTCTTCTGGGCCAATCGCCAGCTCCACTGAAATAATCCAGCTTGACTTTTTATGTAGAAGGAGGTGGAGACGGTGACATTTAAAGGGAAAAAGAACAAAATTGTGGACAAAGGCTCTCCAGCATCATTCATTACACTCTTCAGTGAACAATCTTTACAAACTTTTAAACTCTTCAAAACAAATCAAACAGATTAATATATAACTTTATTCCTTTCAATGGCTTTCAGAAGTTAAGCACCGATGTATATTAAATACAATAAATTTTTACACCTACTGACATCTAACTACCACACTTATTCCAAACTCTCATGCGTCTGAGATACTCATTTAGAGAGATATGTATGTAATCAATATCTTTTGTGGTTAATGAAAACTTAAAAAGAGAATCCTTTTAATCAAAACGTGTACTATGCACAGGCAATTAACTGCAGATCTAAACAATGTCAATTATACCCATTATTCCATAATGGGATCTGAAGACTACTGTGCTCCCTATACTTACACCCAGAGCACATTTGAAGCATTCTTTGTCAAATCTGTATACTGGAGACAGGATCTCAAAGAATTTCAGAATACTTTCTTCTCTATTGAGGATGGCAAACTGTCGAAACGTTTGTTGAATCAGTTTTCTTAGTGTTTTGGCCTGTGTAATGAAATATTTAAAGATCACTTAGTGTCTGTGCATCTAAAGCTGTGCCAGTGATGGTGAATATTAAACACATCTATTATTCAATATCAGTTACTCAATTTACCACTGAAACATAAAAGATGTGATTCTTAATCAGAAAAGGATGTAGCCAAACATTAATAATGCACTGTTCTATCTTCCAATTTTACTGCACACAACAAAATCCCTCCATATTTACTGATAGATGCTTTCTGTGTAAAATCAAGCTAACAATTTTAATTAAAAACATAAGAATGGTATTACTGGGTCACATCAATTGTCCATCTAGCCCAGTATTCTGTTTTCCAACAGTGGCAAGTGCCAGATGCTTCAGAGGGAATGAACAGAACAGAGCAATTACTGAGTGATTCATCCTGTCATCCAGTCCCAGTTTCTGGCAGTCAGAGGTTTAGGGACACCCAGAGCATGGGGTTGCATCCCTGACCATTTTAGTTAATAGCCACTAATGGACCTCCCCTCCATGAACTTATCTAATTCTCGTTTGAATGCAGTTATACTTTTGGCCTTCACAACATCCTGTGGCAATGAGTTCCACAGGTTGACTCTGCATTGTGTCAAGAAGTACTTTCCTGTGTTTGCTTTAAACCTGGGTTGACCTCTGATTCTTGTGTTATGAAATGAGGTAAATAACAGTTCCTTATTCACTTTCGCCACACCATTCATGGTTTTATAGATCTCTTATCATATCCCCCCTCAGTCATCTCTTTTCTAAACAAAACAGGACAAGACAACATGATTATTATCCTCTGCATGAACTAATTTTTCTAAGTTCCTTGTTTACCGGTACTTTCTGAACCTCTTACCAGTGTAAAAAATATCAGCAACCTATGCTTTCAATAAATTATGAAAAATTCTACTAAAACACTTCATCTTCTAATTTGTACTTGCTCATTTATTTGTTCATATACTCTAGGCTAGGCACCTAACTGATCACTGGTGCACACAATTTGCATATAGCCCTTCTGCAGTTCACACATATCAGAAACACATGGTCAGTTTTGAAAATTTGTCCCAAAACCTTTTGCAACCTCCTACTGATAAGTAAATATATATTTTTCAGAATAAAGTCCTCTCCACAGATCCTCTTTTATTCAGACACAATGTTAAAGTTGTTATTTTCAGCAATCTGTTGATTGCGTTCTCGTTTCTTATAAAGGAACACTGTCTGTGAGTCAAACAAACATCACAGCACCCACCTCTATTTGTGCTCTATTTCTATTTCTTGTGAGAAGAGTTTTCAGTTCAACCGTATAATTAGAGTAGATATATCCTGAACTAATGCTCTTTCTTGTACTCTCTCCATTAAGCCACAGGATGAAGATACCACAACCACTCTTCTTGAAGGATTTAACTGATGAACCGAGAGCGTACACATGAATCTGTTTGCTTTGTAACCGATACTGTTGCATAGTCTATACGATCAAGTACTAAAAAAGCCTTGAATACAATTATTATTTTTACGGCAAAGTTTGACTAATTTGTACATAGAGAATTCTGTCCCCTTCTTATAAGTGCTGATCAAGCATGTGAGTAATCCCATTGAAATCAACGGGACTACGTGCATGAGTAAAATTAAACGTGTCCTCGTGTGGTGATTCATTGGTTCAAGGTTTAATAACCTTCAACTTCGGGGTTATTAAAGTCTGAGAAGATGTACAATTTAGTGAAAATAAATGAATTTTATACCATTTTTACTAAAAGTTTCCCCTGCTAAAAATGAACAATGCACAAGTAGCTAAGGTCATCCTTCTGCCCAAACAGATAACGTCACTTCCAGTAGACACAGGAACCTGATTATGTATCCTTGAGACTTGAAATGTGTGTTTTGGTGAGTAAATGTTCAGGACTTGTGTAGGCGTCACTTTTTTATCATTAACTGTAGATATGTACTTTCATAAAAAAGTACTCATAGGATGAACTAAATATATATACCTATACTCATATATAAAGATACACACATCTGCACAAAATACTAAGTACAGTACCAATACCTGGCTGCACAGAGAGGAAATCCCTGGACTTTTTGCCTCCGTGTGTTATGATAAAGAGCAACAAACTCAGAAGCAACATCCCCAATATGCTCAACCAATCCCATAATCAGTAACCCCTTGGCAGTGGATCAAATGAAGGGACCTTATGCCATGATCTGGCCAACTGGCCAGGGGAACAATTCCGAAACCAAGGACCCCCTAAAGAAAATGCTCTGCCCTCAGAATTTATCTGGACACCGTTAGTACTAGTTTCTCCCCACCTGCTGGGAGGATACATATGGAAAGATGGTTTCTCAGACAGGCAGGAAACAGACCTCACAGAGCTTCATAGAGTAATACCAAGACAATTAATTGTTTTTAGAATCTTTTAAAACAAAAGTCAATGTAGCACAAGTAGCATGGAATTTACTACTTTAGGACAGTACTTGCTACTTTAGGATATTTTAAGAAAAAAGAGCAGGCTTTTCAAGAGTTCAGTGTTGGCCTAATTCTTCTATCTTTGAAGTCAATAGGCGATATACCCACCCATAAGATACTTAATTTATGGATACTGTAAGCCCTAACCATCAGAGCAAGAAACATATATTGTGTGTGGGTGCTTTAGAGCCAGCTTGATTATTGTCTCTCTCAGTTGTTGGCACCAATGTCAAAATGTCAACAATATCTATATTTTGCCTCTATATTTTTTTCCACACAGATAGTAGATTTTAATCTAAAATAACCGTATGTTATTAGATACAACAACTACTTAATGTTAAAAAGTAGTTTCCTTTAATGCCAGCTAATTTTTAGGAACTGGCAACAGGAATTGTGCAAGCGATACTACCAAATCCATTTTTCTGTTATGTCAAAGTTAAGATGAACAGGAATTACCAATGGCTCCCTCTTGGGATACCCCATTGTACTAACTACTACATCTGCCTTAAAAGCACTTCACTCTTCTACTTGACCAAGGAATAGGGCAAGACATTGCACACAAAAACAGAACTTCCTCTTTTGCTCTACTCCCTAGAAAATCTGGCTAACACTTTATGACGGGGTATGGACCCTACACAGGCTCTGAAGGGGTTAATGTGGGCCTGTGAGGCTAATTAACATAACTGGCAGCACCTGTGAGAGCAACAGGCTTCATTGATGATGGAGCCCAGCTGCGGAGGGCCTGGGTCGTGATTATAAAGTCAGGAAGTTTGTAGCTGAAAGAGGTTTAAATAGTGAGAATTAAATGAAATATAAAAAAAAAGTGAGGTAGTTGTACAAAGGGCTATAAAAAGGGCAAAAAGAGAAACCTGGAGGACAGAATCCAGGACAGTAAATAAAGATACCAAGACAGCAGATATATACAAGCAAATTAGGAAAATTAATGGAATAAAGAGTTAGAGACATATAATAAATACCAAACCTTGAAGAGTAATAAGCTCCAACAAAGAAAAAGCAGAAATTCTGGCCAATATGTTTCTAAAAGGTCAGTAATGATGAGGATTAGAGGATATAAATTAGGGAAAGGAAAAATATTCATTAAGGATAATTATGAGATGATGAAGAGTGGGAAGGAGGATGTGGATAGTATTTTAAATTAAAATATTAGCATGAGGGAATTCCAAAAAGCAATAAAAAGGAACAAAAGCATCGCACCAGGGAAGGACCAAATAAGCTTTGAAATGCTTAAACACCTAAGTGAACGAAGCTTGAGGATGATACATCATAATATCATAACAAAATTATATAACAACATATGCCAAAAAAGTGAAATACCTAAGGACTGGAAATATTCAATTATTTGTCCCACTGAGAAAGCCAAGTAAGTTGCACTCAAGACCCGTGGCATCCAGATCAACTGCCCTCCCAACATGTTTAGGTAAAACCATAGAAAGAATGGTAATGGAGAGATAACGAACACACCTAGAAAGAAATGGGTTCATAGATGGAATGCAAAATGGGTTCAGAAGAGGTAGGAGTGCTATTAACCATATTGTAAGGATAGACACAGAAGCACAAAAAAGCATGAGAACTAAAGAATTCACGATAGTAACCTTCCTGGACATAGACAAAACCTACGATGCATTATGGTAAGAGGGACAACTTTATAAAATGGTCTTCATGGGTAGTATAAGAAAAATGGACAGACGGGTAAGGGACTTCTTAAGCAAAAGAACTACACAAGTCCGAATAGGAAAAGCTTTTTCCAACATATATTCAACTGTGAATGGAACACCACAGGGAAGTGTAATTAGCTCAACCCTCTTGAAAAATGACCTCTGTAAAGAGATGAGTTCAGGAACAGGGATCACATCATTTGCTTAAGACTGTGCCATATGGACCAAAAGCAGAACCCTTGAAAGCACCACCAAAAGAATCAATGATGCACTTAAGAGAAGTGCAGACTAGGTAATAAGTGGGGCTTCAAATTCTCCTTAGACAAAACTAAGGGAATGATCTTCACAGGGAAAGTCCAAAAAGATGTAAAGTTATACCTATATGACCAACAGATAAATATAGTGAAAAATTATAAATTCTTGGGCGTGATATTTGATAACAAGCTCACTTGGAGGGATCATATTGAAAATATTAAAGGTAAGTGCAAAGTTAGAATTAACTTTCTTAAAAGTATCTCTGGAATGTTCTGGGGAACAGATAAGAAAACAGTGGTAGTGCATCCGGAATGCTAATTAGACCAATTATTGAATATGGAGTCAGGCCCTTAGATCAGCACCGAACAGAAATCTGAGAAAACCATACTATATCCAAACACAGGCAATGCGTACTGCGTGTGGCGCCTTTATTACTGTGCCTCTGTGTGTACTACAGATAGGCATTTCACCAGCTGCTTTCACTCCTAGAATGAAGCTCCTGGATTTAATGTTTTGGGTCAAATCACTAGGTAATAGTGAAGATGACAACATGCAGCTAATATATAATGACTGCTGAGAATTAAGTGGAGGCTGGATAGGGCCAAAAAAATAAATA